CAAGACTTATAAAAAATTTTTAATATTTGATGTTCCAGTGAAGGGAAAGCACCGCCCCCCCCACTTTTTTGCAGTAAGTACTGTTACATTGACAATGGGGGCTGTTCCCACGGTTGGGGGGGGGGGGCTTAAACACCACCCCACCCCAACACACTCTCAATTTGCTTCTGGTGCCTATGCCCTATGGTCAGAATATTTCCAAGAACCAAGAGCTGTTTGTTTGTTTTTTTCTTTATAATCCGCATCCCCATCCCCCTTCAGAATCAAATTATTGCCTCTATTCATGAATATTCACATGATTAATTTGTACTTAAATATGTATGTATATGAATATTATAGACTCAACCAGACTTTCATCAATTCTTTCTACAATTAATAAACAAAACTTAACTATCAAATGCAAATGATCTATTCATGGTAATATAATCATATTAATACATGTATAAGCTCTCTATACAATAAATAATCATGGTTTTCAATCGCAAGTGAGTTAATAAATCCCAAATATTAAAACCATACTTTAAGGCACATTTTTATCATATGTAGAGGTTAAAGAAGGTAAAAGTGTAAGGTAAAAGTGTAGTGGTTCTGGCCACCCCAGAGGCTGTTTTGTCAAAGCAGTGGCGATCCATTATTTTGGATGTGAGACAAAATATCTGCATGGTTGCTTATGATGAAGCCCACTGCATATCTGAATGGTAAATACCGCATCTAACACACCATCCAAAACTGTAAAAAAAATAAATAAATAAAAAGTAAATTACTTGAAACATTGTGTGATACTCGTGAGCTAGTGTCTGATATTAACTGGGAAGCAGCAGACAAATTTCCATTAGAAAGCTAACTTGAGCCTTAAGCTTAGAAGAGCTTAATAAAAAAAATCTACTTCAACCTATTTGTCATCTCCCTCGGGAGATGACATATTAAGATTGTATGCCGGAAGTGAAGTCCTAGCGTAAGCCTCCATTAATCTTTCGGGAGTCCTCGATGTTTTACAGAGTTCCAAGTAGCCTGTAAACTGGTTTTCTTTTAGAAGAACTAGCTTAGGAGTGTGCTATCTACTTTCGGTTTAGGCCTATTTGAAAGCCAAGGAAAATTTAGAAAAGAAGTACGATGCTCATAAATATCTATAGTTTCGGTGTGTCGTATACATGTATGTATTGATCCTCAATACTATGCCTTATTAAATTGGTAAGCCACACAAGGAGAATTGACAATGACGTGATTTCTATATATAGATTTGTTGACGCGAAGGGAAAAACTGGTTCTCGCACAAAAGAACAAGCTTACAATTAGATTCTGCAAAAAAATGTATGAAGAGTGGTCAACGCTAATTTTATGTTATTTTTTTAGTCTGTAATTGGATTTATTAAATTAATTCCTGTCAAACTTTAATGATTAGCTGCTTTTAAATGAAGGATAATTATTGTTGATAATTCCGTATTGTGTTAAGAAAATATAGTTCAAGGAAAGTATTTGAATTTAAGTAAATTGTAAACACCCAGAAGCACAAAGACCGCTAGAATGAAATTTCACCAAAAATCGCCTTGGGTGCTCTGGCAGACGTCCATGCTTTCCATATATGTACTGCGGCTAAAAGAAACTGCGTACTTTACTGTGGAGTTTGCTGAATAAGTCATTTGGGAACTTCAGGTGTAATAATCTATATATTCATTGCATTAAAATATTTCTCTTTCTGTTTTATTTCTTATTGACATTATGACATTATTGATACCAAAGAGATGACATTTCAGGCTTTCTGGAAAGCCAAACTTGTTATCATATTGCAATGAGAATCATTGTAGGATCTGTTCAGTTTATTGTTGTACTTTAAAACTTCTGCAATGAATTTCAAAGATATTTAGATGTAAATAGTAAATTTAAAATTCAGGGGATTGGACTTCAGAGAGGATTATTGCAAGATTGGTTTACTTCAAAGCATTATTGAGGCTCCAGTTCTGGCATTATCTGCCACAGTCACAAAAGAAATTAAGAAAGACATTGACAATGTACTTGGGCTTTCCAGTAACACTGTAGTAATTGCTACTTTGCCTGACAGGTATAATTTTCATCAACCATACATTTTGCTAAGACATGATACATACATATTATAAATTTTCATCACACACAAGATACAAGATATACATACATTACTGAAATTCACATATTTCGGAGGGGTCAAATTTTTATGGTTTGAGGAAAATATATTAGTTCATGGGAATTTGATATAGTGGTTGAAGAATTGTTCAGTGATATTATCTGTGAAAAATTGCTTTATGTGGTGGACATAAATTCCTGGGTATCATACCTTGAAAACAACGAAAATTAAGGTCATTGGCAACGCAGAGTTTCCGGAGAAAAAAGGTTCAATCATAGGTTTTTTCACTTATCAAAAGTCATTGAGAGTGATCTCCCGTATGGAATTCTCTAGGCGCTGAAAACAAATAAAGCATATGTTACAGACTGAGAGGTAAACAAAAGCACATGTGTTTTTTTATCCGATACATTCAACTCTACAGTAATAAAAGAAAAGCAGCGATGGGTTTGTTTACATTGTGCTGAGGGGGCAGACAGTCAACAGGTCGTCATTAAGAATAGGTACATGAATGTTGGGAAGTGCAAAGTTGTGAAATAATTATGCTGAAAGTGGTGATAGCTAGAGAGACCAGATGAGAACGATTCTATAGGTTATGTGAACGAGACACCATTAAAACTTACTAAAAATCCTTGCAAAAATGCTTTATGACAGTTTGTTTCCAATAAAGTAAATAATAGAATAGAAACAAACAACCAGTCTCTTTTATCATTATGAATATTGATTAGATGTTAAGGGAAGTAACTCAAAATTAAAAAACAGTGCTGGTATTTCTGTGTTTTGTTTCAATATTTGCATTTTCAGCCAAAGTATCATCGGAAATCAATTTTCAACAATGTATTTTATGTATAAACCTTATGAAATAAATGGGTTTTGGAGAAAGCGTATGGTTAAAAATAATATAGGCCCATTTTATCAACATTTTACATAAGAAATGCACTGAAAATTGTAAAAACATTGATTTGACAAAATCTATAAAGGAAGGCTGGCTTGATGGGTAAAAAGGACCTGAATTAAACATGTTTGGTACCATTAAACCTGTTCAAAAAATCTTAAAAAATTCTATACGAAAGCCAGAAACGTTGCCAATGTCCTTAAACCCCTACAAAAATTGGTATTTACAGTACATGGTTTTAAACAAAAACAACTGAGAATACTGTGCATCAGTCATGGTCTTATTTTTTTTAATAAACTTATTCCAGACCCAACATATTGATTGACATTTGCATCTCTACTGAAAATTATGAAGAGGAGCTTCAGTGGGTACAAGATGCAGTTGAAAAATATGGTATACTTTGCAAGAAAATAATAATCTATGTTAACTCTATATCAGCTTGTGAGGGGATATACATATGGCTACATTCTACTCTGTGCAAAAATGCATACAGTGGGGGTGTTTGCTTAGAAAACCGACTGGTAGAAATGTATCATGCCAGCACTGATGTAGAGTCTAAAGGGAGGATAATGGAATCCTTTTGCAGGCCAGGTTGTACTGTCAGGGTATTGATTGCAACAGTCGCCTGCGGAATGGGCATGGACATTCCAGACATCGCCTTGTGTGTGCTTTGGGGTCTGCCACCATCCATGATGCAGATGTGGCAGGAAATAGGTAGATGTGGGCGTGATGGCAGAGATAGTCTTGCCATCTGTTATGCTTTTCCAAGAAGCATCTCCTTACCCTGCCAGAAGTGCCGGAAAAGCAACCACAGAAAATGTTCCTGTGAGGCAAGGCAACATTTAAGGGAGTTGGCCACCACTAAGGGATGTTACCGGACACACTGCCTGGAACCCTTCAAGTTAGAGAACATTGATAGTCATACAGTCAGTGATGCAAACAAAACTTGTACTTTTTGTAAAAGTATTGGTATGTGTTGTTGTAACTTGTGCAAATGTTGCACAAATTGTTGAGGAAATGTTCCCCCCAGAAAAGTAACAAAACAAAATTTTCTGACAAAATTTCTTCTTCTGTAAAAAGTAATTTCAGAATCCCATTTTAAATGTTCTTTTAAAAAATGAATTATGTTCTTTCTTACTAAATAGTCATCATGTGCAGTCGTCTGTTGTTAGCCATTTTCTTTCTTAGTCTTTGGATTCTGTCCCTCATACCCTTGGAACGAGAAACAAAAAAATTTGGAAAGGATTCAAAATTTTTGAATGACTTCCTTTTTCCTCCTAAAAAAGAGAGATAGGTGCCAGCAACTCCCAACTTTAGAACGTCTCCCAGTCATAGGGTTGAGCTCCTCCTGGTGTAGGAGTGAACTGATGAGCAGACTATTGCATCCTGATACATTTTTGAGAGAACTTTTCCTGTAATAATAAACAACATTCATTCCCAATTTTCTATTTTTTCGTTATAATACTGTGCATGTAAATTAACAATGCTGCAAAAACAGTTACATGTATAAAAAAAAAATACAGTGATTTATTCAATTTTCTGTTAAAAATAAATTTTGAACCATTCCAAGCATTTGACTATGTCTTGCAATTGTGGCATGGGAAAGGACCCCCAGCATCTCTTTTTTTCTTTGTATTTTTGGGGAACTATTAAAAAGCCCTTTGGGGAAATGTTGTTTTGCCACCTCTATATTGACTGTTCGGTTCCAGATCCTGGTGTCGAAACCTCTCAAAACGGCACCCCAACATTGGATAGAAGACATGGGCATTCAAAATATTTCGGATGGTGTTTCTCATAGAATTCCTTTAAATCAAACTTCCAATGCCGGATATCCTCAGACCATCGTTTTCTGATACAGCATCAGCCCTTGCAAGATCATTCAGTCCTCTCTAGAGAATCTGTGAGCGTATTCCTTCTTCAGATCTCTGAATCTGTCTGAAACAGAACTTTGTTTTTTCTTGAATTTTCAATCTCCTACAGTCCTCAGAACAAAACCAGTCTCCTGTGCATAATGTACAATGAAAATAGTACCTATACTTGTATCTACCAACATTACATCTTTTAAAACAACACAACAAGCACAAATGTACAAATTTTGAAATATAATATAAAATACTTGATCTGTCATGAAGGGGTGTATATGTTGACAATACCTTTTAAAATAACATGTTTTTAAAGTACATGGGGTTACTGAACTTAAAAGGATGAAATAACTACCTTAGGGACATCTTCTTCAACATCCAAGACAGTAAATGTGGAACCATTGCCCATTTCTACACTTGGTGTAGGAACAAAATGCTCCCCCCTCCAATGTCTGTTTTACAGGAGCAGTTTTGGAACCCTTTTACTTGGTTCACTGGCAAGTTTCTCCTTCGTGTTGGGTTTTCTCATAAACCATGTTTACAATGTCAGCTCCCAAAAGACAACAGGAAATCTTCCTTACTAGTACTTGGTAGTTCTTCAGGGATGCATCAACTGAATGAACACCCAGGAGGTTATACTGCTCTACTGTAAAATTTTGGTAGCAAAGTGGAGGAGCTCAGCCGCGTTATTAAAACACTCCATGATGTTTCCTGACACTCCTTTATGGTAAATCTTTTTGATGTTGACAATTTTCCCCTTCTCACGATGGCTCTAAAACTTAAACAATTCGTCATATGTTTCCTAAAAATGAGAAATCCTGATCAGTGTAAATGGAACTCAATTACTGAAATCTTACACCTAAAATACAATATTTTTGAGATTTTATATATGTATGTCTTCTTTAAAATACTGATGTTTTAAAAATAAATTTCTCAAAATAAAAGATCAAACATAAATGATTAAAAAATTTATGGTTTTCCTGCATGAACATTAATCTCCGTGCCATTCTTGAATGGCAGGTTCAAACATCTCTAATCTCCCCATTGATCCCCTCCATTAATGCGGGCTCTTTGACTCCATAGCCCGCTCACAGCTAAATCCATACAGTACAGGACAAATGGTAAAGGTCTCCCATTTTTATCTTGTGGAGCATATTTCTTAATTGTCAAGTATCTGAATCATTTCGGCTGTTTGGTCCATCAAACTGGAGAATCCCCAATGGAACCTAAAATATCAAATTCAAAAGATTTTTTTTTTTTTTTAATTTTGTCATTGTATTGTTCTGCTAATTTTGGTGTGAACACACCTTTTCTGTATAAATTATATTGGAAAACCTTTTCATTTTTGACACTTGATTCTTTCATGTAAGGATGAGGGTTTTTTCCACTGACTAGACTTTTTTTCAGCAAAACACTCCATATAGAAGCTAGAATTTTGGCCCCTGTATGAAAGCTCTAACTTCATGTCCTTCTCATCACTATCGCTAGGGAGATAGGCTGTTTTGGGAATTTTCATGATGTCATCAGCTGTAGGACTTGTTACGAGTTCATAAAAGGGTATTCTGTCCCTAGTTGCAAAAGCCTGAACCATGTTAAACATTTTATTCTGTTTTCCCCTTACATGGTGTCGCACCCCAACCTTCTGGTTAACGTTATCAAAAGTTATGTCAAAGAAAAATGACTTCGTGACATTTTGATTGGGCATCATAAAACTGGAATCTGAAGTGAAAACAAATTTGTCAGGATAAGAAACATGTTATATGAAAACCATATAAGAAGCAAGTTTTGCAAAGCAAAAAAAATTTTATACAAATAAATTTCTTTACAGATTCAAGTCTCAGGCTATAGTTTCTTTTAACGTCTTTTTTTTTTTACACCTGTGCTCTCATCACTATTGCTAAGTGATTCTGCCATACACGAATTGGACCTTGATTCTGTGCTTTGAGTGTCATATAACTGTAGATAAAAGGGAATCTACATCTGACAAGTCCATCTCTATATCCTCCTCCTCATCCTCCCAATCATCCTCAATTTCCTGGGTGCATCAATCTCAGGTGCCAACATTGTTTTAACACCTACAGCTGGAACTTGCTGATCTGCATAATAAAACATATTTATTAAAATATGTTTTTTTTATCAAAATGTTATCATAATTACTTGATATTCATTATTCTTGTCAAGATGCAATATGAATTGTAGATTGACAATATTACACACCTATCTGTAAAGCAGTGATTCTGTTCTTCCAGTCAAGGACCTTGTTGTCATACTCCTGTCTGAAGGTATCAATGGAATCGCGTGTGGCTGAAATTCCAAGACACCATCCTAATTTGCTAAATGCATCAAACACCTGCAAAATATAAGTTGTTTCTTTTTTTAAAAAAAAGCAAACAAACACCTAATGATATACATATACAGACTTTGAGCCATGCTTAATATTCAGCCTGAGAGAGTCATTTTAGCTCAAGTTCAAATTAATACTGAGACTATCTTTCTTTAATAAAAACATTTGTACAATAGAAACCTACACAGTTATAAATATCAGTAGGAGTCTATTTTTTTAAGCCATAAGGAGTAATGATACAACTTTCTAGTGAAAAAACTTTAGGTCTTTTATACATATTGTCTAGAAACACAAGTCTAACCCGCAGACATATGGACGTACAGGTAGATGAACATTAAAATTCCAAATTTCCTACATAAAGGGGGGACAATAAAAAAAATTATGTGTACTTAGAAACCGCCTACCTTCCTCTTACAACCACTCAGCCACATGAACGGCGAATTCATTTTCTGAATCACAGCACCTCTGCCTGTTCTATTATGCATTATCAAGCTCAATATGGTGCCTGCGAGTGGGACAAGGGATACAGTTGTGGATCCTCGCTTTTTCGACACACTGCTATGATACCGCTTTCTAGTTAGGGATGAGATGACAATATCCACCAGAGATGGGCACATGCTTTTCATTTGATCCATATATTGCTCCCAAGAAAATCCCATCACATTCTGAGAGAAAATATCATAAAAGTAATGTAAAAAATTATTATAATATTTACTTTACCCAAAAAGTATCAGTACTCTTTAGAAAACAGAAAAAAAATCCCCATATTATCTGTACACCCCTACTAATGTTATTGTGATTTAAATTCAAGACACGTGGGTTAGCTTTACCTATTCGAAGGCGATAAGGTAGAACCGGTTTTATAAATAAAATTGGCAGTAAACAGGGAATTGTTACAGTTTGTTTCTTTTGAAAACATGTCCTGTGAAAAATGTGTTTCCAGACCTTTCTGAAAGACTTTCATGATTTTCAACAGAAATGGATGGCTAAAAAGGGGGGGGGCGGGTTAAATACGGTAACAATTAAAATATCTAACCGTATTTTACTGCAAAAATTACAGCTCGCTAGCGACCGATACGCTGGTAAAAATGTGTAATATCATCTACACTGACAAAACTTTTTTTTTCCTTATATGGCTATTGCTATCAATGCGCACAGAGGATCTTATACCACTAGCAACTGACCAATAAATTTTATTGTTGATTGAATATTGTATGATCATGTCAATGGAGTGCAAAATAAGAAAAAATGTTCTTATGAACAAAATGCAAACATTCGAAACTATGAAAGATATTTTAATTTGTTGTAAACTAGAAAAAGAAATATTAGTAAAATGTATACTAGTTAGTGTCAAGTTCAGAACACCAGCACTTCAAGGGTACGGAAGATGAGCAGCTTCTCGTATGCATTTAAATGGACAAAATTTTTACATGACTGCACTCGTGATCACGTGTGCTGGCCAGGGAATCCACCTGACAATTGTATTCACCGATAGTAGAATAAAGGAATTTATAAACCGTAAAATTCCTGGATTATTCGTAGTAACCTACAATGCAGTTCTCATTCAGCTGATTTGTCAGCTAAAGTCACATTGGTGCATCCTTTGCTAATCTGACGCCACAAAATATAGTCCCGGTTTCCATGCAAAATATTTGTCCAAAAAGAAATTTTTTATTTCATTACAGCAGATAATTGTATCATAGAGAATACTTATAAATTAAATTTTAATGAATTCAAGAGAGATCAATTGAAGTTCATTTCTAGAGAATGATATTATAGGGTGGTGAAATCTAAAACGCAACATAAC